AACTACAACATAGGTGCAAAAACTCATAAGAGTTCCAGGCAGAGATTTCTGCCCTGTTCCCCTTTAGTAGGCATAACCGCTTCATCATTGCTGTTAAGAGAGGGTTCAGGATGATGGGAAAATTAGAGGAGAAAGACTTAAAAGTACAGTAATTTTGTTTCTTAGTGAGTGGCATACAGATATGATTGAATTATAGTCTGTTATGCTACAGTATGCTTATAAACTTTTATTTGGACATAGATTTATATATTATTTAAATAATAGATGATGATTTTGGTAAAGAAAGTTATCTTTATTTTGGGTATTTTTGTTTATTTGGGGTGCTCCATTGACTCCTGGCTTTGCATTCAGGTTGAACTCTTGATAGGCCCTGGAGACCATATGAGCTACCAGGAGTCGGACCTGGGTTGGCTTATGCAAGACAAGTGCCCTACCCACGTACTATCCCTACAGCCCCAGTAAAGTTACTTTTAAAAAATGCAGTGCAGGGGCTGGAGCAATAGCACAGCAGGTAGGGCGTTTGCCTTGCATGCGGCCAACCTGAGTTCGATTCCCAGCATCCCATATGGTCCCCTGAGCACCGCCAGGAGTAATTCCTGAGTGCAAAACCAGGAGTAACTCCTGAGCATTGCCAGGTGTGACCCAAAAAGCAAAAAAAAAAAAAAAAATGCAGTGCAGATTGTGTATGGATTTGTGTGTGTGTGAGTTTTGTGTGTGTGTATGTGTGAGTTTTTGATTGATTTTTGAAAATCTGACACCTTTTTTAATAATTGTTTTCAGTTCAAAACTTTAAAATATTGTTGTATTTTTCATCCTCTCAGCTGAAATGGTTGAAAATGTTGAATAGCCAAGGATCCTGCTGGAGACAGATGATAATCATTAGGCAGCTGTTTCAATAAATAAACCCCAAATATCAATGAGTCACTACAAATATTTGTTGTTCTCATTCATTGGCCTAGATGTTGGTCAAGGTGCATTTGATCTAATCTGGGTTCAGCTAAACTTGGCTTTAGGAAGGAGGAGTGTTTGGGTCCACTAGTGTGTGTAATTTCAGGTTGATTGTATGTATGCTTGTCTCACGGTGGTAGTAGAAATATAAAGTAGGGTATAAAAATATATATGTCTCTGAAGGCCTTGGTTCCATCTAGTGTAGTTGCATTATCCACACTTAGCTTGCCAAGTATCCATGGTTCAGGAGAAAAACTGATGGGAAGAACTACAAAGGCAACTGGGTAAAGCCTTGGATGCTTAATGAAAATGTAAGAACCAAGTGAAGAAGAGAAAAGAATAATCCAGTATACCACAGGTAGACATTTTTGGAAGACAAGTTACGAACACAACTTCCAGTTTTGAATGGCATGTTGTCTTTCCTTTCTCTCTGCTCCCACTGTACTGTATTGATCATTGACAGCCAAACCCCAGTCTGATGTTGTAGGTTAGCTTCAGGAAGTGCAGCTCGTCATTTGAATGGTTGGGAAAAGCACAGACTTTCAAGGTGGTCTTAAGGTAAGTCACCTTCCTGTACTGTGACTCTCTGTTATATTAACCATGGTCAACTGTAGAATTAACGTGTATATGTGTGTGTCTGTGTGTGTCTGTATCTGTGTATGTGTGTGTGTGCATGTCGGTCCATTGACTCTTAGTATGTCTTTGAGAAACAAAATTACCTACAAATATTAAATGAAAATGAGTTTGTATGAGAGATTTTTAATTATATGAAAGGGAAAGATAGATAACTAATTGATTAGACTATTTTTAAGCTTTCTACAAAAAGTACAAAAAAAATCTAACACTTCAAAATATGTTCACATCAGAAACTAAATGTCATTGAACTCTGTTGACAGAATACTTACTTAATTTGGGATATGTTTTCTGTACTTACTAAATTTATTTAGCTGAACAGAATATTATAGCAGCTATCTAATGGATTCAGATATTTGCTTTATTTGTGACTGTTTAAAGCACTTGTTTTAGTATTATTAAAAGTCTCCATTCAGAATTTACTTGATACATTATATTTTATGTTTTATGTAACTTCTGCCTTTGGTCCTTTCTGGCTGTAATGACACTTACAAAATTATTATTCGTCACAGTTTCACCTTGCCTGTTTCCTTCATAGGGATATTGTCTGGTTAAACATACAATATTAGGAATTGGCCTTTTTAAAATTAAAGCTATTTCCAAAAGAGCAACTAATTTTTATTTCTTTTGTTGAAACTTTGTGCTGTCTTTCCTATACATTGAGAGTGAGTAGAATTCACTCCATTTTTATTAATAAAGTTGAACAGCCACTGCTGAGTGTGTGTGTTTATCTTTGGATGCATATTTATGTATACAAATCTATTTTTAAAAGCAAGGACACAGGATCTTTCTTAGTATGGAAATTCACCATTCTCTTATAACCATATGAAAATTTTCTGTTCACCAGACAGTGCACCTTTGATGATATAAATGTCTTTCCTTAGGTTTTGTAAATTACGTTCTCTGTGATCTATATGTATTGTATATAGTTTTACCCACCTCCATTAACTCTACTCAAAGTCAGAAGCCACTTGAAAAAAATGAAAGTAGAAAGATTTTAAATGAGGGATGAGATTAGTAACTAATCTTTTCACAGAGATAAGGATGTAGGGTGAAAGTATACCAGTAAACCTTTACAGAGGTTTATTTTCTTTTTTCTTGCCAAAGATGAACAGAAATGTTCTAGAAGGGGAGATGAAACAAAATGAATATCAAAAGGAATATGAGCTTTAATTCCTCAGGTTAGCACAACCTTACTCCGGAAGTCACCAGGAAAGGTTCAGTGGAGTGCCCTGTTTCTGGAGTTCTTTTAGTCATTAGTTCTTTCCTCTGTCTCCTGAGAAGAAGTTGAGTTCCCTTTGCAGAATATCAGTTCCTAAACAGATTCCCAGGAGCTGGTCTTTCTGTAGACCACGAGAGCAAACGTAAGGATGAGTCCAGGTGACTGAGAAGTCCTCATTGTGAGAAACCTGGCCAAGCGGAGCCTGTTAAAATTTTTAAAGTACCTCATGTCCGCAGAGGCAGGAGGTGACTCCTGCAGTTCTGGCTCTTTCTTTTCTCTGGCCACGGATAAGGAACTTTGTGGAGAGCTTGCCAGAGGGTTCTGTAGAGGCATAAGAATTTGCATCACCTTCATTTCAGCATGTGATTGGAAAACAACCAACCTAATAAACAGCAAAACCTGAGCTGTTTGCACCTTTACATTCTTCTGAAATGCTACTCTCATATAAAGCCAAAGTGTGTAACCCTACAGTTTTCTTCGTTAGCTGATTTATTCTCATCTCAAGTTACTTTGGTTTGGTTTGATTTGGTTTGGTTTGTGGGAAGGCATGCCCAGCTGTGCTCAGGGATCATTCCTGGCTCTTTACTCAGGCATTGCTCCTAGCGGTGCTTGGAAGGCCTTTTGGGGTGCCAGGGATAACCCCAAGTCTGCCACGTGAAAGGCAAGCACCCCACCTGCTGTGCTATTTATCTGATCCCCTCAAGTTACTTTTAAGTCAGGTAGTCAGCCTGGTAGACATTGTTGACTGGCTTTGGGTTACTGCCAAAGGGACACAATTACAAGGATTATGTGTAATAAACACCCTGCCCTGTCATACATCCACCAGTGCCCTTGATTGCAAAAGCACAGCAGACATAAATCCTTAACGTCTGCCTCATGGCTTAATTTTCTGCCAAGGTCACTTACCAAGCCATAAAAGAGCACCAGGAACTTGAGACCTCTATGGGACTGTAGAGGTGACAGTCCTGTGTTCTAATGGAACAACAGTGGCTTGCAATATATTTAGAAGACATCACACTGAAAGGCATGATTCAATGGAAATATAAGTTTGGAAAACACAAGGATCCAGTTCAGTTTCTTTCCTAAAAACTGTTTAGAGGTCTTTAACATGATGGAATAATTTGTGACTCCAAGGGATACAGCATGATGCTTTACTCACCTTTATTTGATCACTAAGTCCTCTGGTTGTAAGAACAACCACTGCCATTCTAAAATGCCTGGCAGAGATCATATATTTAATCATTGAGAGTTTGGCCCTACTGCTTAACTGCTGGGGTTCAATCTCTGATTTTGCTATTTATGATCTAGATCAAATTTCTTAGTGTCTTTGTGCTTCAGTTTCTCTACCTAAGATGAGAACACTAATCATATCCTCCTGTAGGAAGTTGCTCGAAAAAATAAAGAACAGGGTTTAGGAACAATTCCTGGCACATACTTGAATATTACCATGTTATTATAGCTTAGGTAGGACAGAACTTGCCTAAGATCCTCATGGAAATGAGACGAGGGAGTCACAAATAGTTTCCCATAGGCAAAGGTCTTCATTCAACAAACTGACCAAGGGCTCTGTGCCCCAGGCATGGTGAGCCTGTCCCTCAACATGAAAATGAATAAGTTGCAGTTATTGTCCTGAACATGTACACACACTAGTGACAGCAATTAGGCATCACCATTCAGTAACCTCCTAACTTGTCTTCTCTAACTTGTGCTCTGATTCTTTTATGATGCACACAATCTGAATGGCCTCTAAGGCCAAACAAAAACTGGGATCAAGCTTGCAGCTAATAGATCTTTTCTAAATTGAGTATGAAGACAAACACTTTAATTCTTTGTTAGTGTATTACAGAAGCGTAAGTGAGAGAAAAAGGGTTTTTTTTTTGGGGGGGTGCCTTTTTGGGTCACGCCCGGCGATGCTCAGGGGTTACTCCTGGCTCTGCACTCAGAAATTACCCCTGGCGGTGCTCAGGGGACCATATGGGATGCTGGGAACTGAACCCCGGGTCGGTGGGGTGGCGTGCAAGGCAAACACCCTACTTTCTGTGCTAACACTCCTGCCCTGAGAGAAGAACTTTTGAAGGAAAGCAAAATCTAAAACTATAATTTAGGAAGGAAGGGAAGTGTGAAATGGTCCAAGTATAGCTGACTTAATGTTTTTCTAGTTACTGTGTTTCTTATGGTCTTCTCTGTATTTGTCTAGGCATTTCTTCTGAGGGATTTCCCCGGGAGTACTTCAGTGAACAGGCAGTGACCAAAGACCTCTCCAATAGGGATGGAAGTGCCTGGGTTCTGGGCTACAGAGCAGGGGCAACTTATCCATTTCTGCTCCATGAGGAGAGAGAGAAACCAAACAGAAGTGAACTGTACTTGGATCTCCATGTAAGTAGAAATCTTTGTGTTTGTGCTCTCATGCTATGTCAACAACAGAGGTCCACTGACTATGCATTTAATATTAATTGTACTTATATTTTATTTATTTATTTATGCTTTTCTGATCACACCTGGCGATGCACAGGGGTTACTCCTGGCTTTGCACTCGGGAATTACTCCTGGTGGTGCTTGGGGGACCATATGGGATGCTGGGAATCGAACCCAGGTTGGCCGCGAGCAAGGCAAATGCCCTACCTGCTGTGCTATCGCACCAGCCCCTAATTGTACTTATAAAACTTCTGTGACTCTATGTTGTATGTTGGGCCATTTCTAAAAACAATCATATATGGAAGACAAATATATCTCAGTGATCTGAAATTTGTACACTAAAAACATGCCTGTGTTTACAATTTGAGTATTTTCAGAGTACTCTGATCACATCAGTTAGCTTTCTACACCTCCTTATGTGAGCATAACGTTACCTAATATCATTTTTCAACAAAATTAAGAACTTATGTTAGCCTATCAATATTCCCTGGTTTCTCTAGTGAAATCCAAATAGCCTAGTCTCTTCACGTGTTCCTAAATTTTATTTTTCTCCAGTTGCACAAATAACAGGTCATCAGTTAGGCAGGAAATCTGCAGAATACAGGATGATTCATTAACTAACACAGCCTTCCTCTCATTCATTTATATATCCTTTGATACAGAAGCCTTGAGTACCCTATTCAAAGCGGTAGGCTGGGTTTTAGCTACTTCCATGCTGTAGATGATCTGATAGAATTCACAAAACTGACAGGACTGTCACTACTTCCTTTATTCACCTGCATCCTTTCAGAGATAGGGATGTGGATTAGAAATGGAAAAGGTGCTTTATTTCCCTTTTGCCATTAACGTTAATGCCCGCTGGGAATCTTGTGTCCTTAATTCCTTTTTATACCCCCCACTTCTTGACTTTTAGACCTGTAAGTACATGTTTGATGAGCATGAGTTAGGTTTGTAATGTTCCTATGTATGGCGATTTTCTCCAGCACCCAAGAGCAGAATAATTGCACTTTTCATAATCATAAAAACATAAATCAGAATCAGTCACTGATTGCCTTCTTAAAAATGCATCAACATCCCAGTTGTTATAAAATGAAATTGATAGATGAAAAATCTACAACCCTTCATGTGTTGGCATAGAAATTTGTTAAGTTTTTAAGGTAGTGTGAACTCAAAGTAGAAGGGGAAACAGTGACCTCTATTGGCCAGTTGCTACAACAGCAGCCTTGGAGTAACTGCAGAAACAATTTTTGAAAAAAAAAACACCTTACTTTCTCTTTCTTTCGTGTTTTAAAATTATTCTGTTTGTGATTCCTAAGGACAATAGTTTAAGTACATACTTATTTGTCCTTCTCTGTAAATTAAAACATATCTTAATTTTCCTGAATTTATTTCAAAAACCACATAGGAAATTTGAAATATGTGAATTGAAGAAGTATAACCCATAACCTTGATTGTTTATGATTTTAAAATAAAATCTCTTATTTAAAATTTATAATAATTTATATAAATTATGAAATACTCTTATATATTTTTTTCTGTTTTTAATTTTATTTCCAACTTGCAAAACTTCGTTATTTATAAGCAACTTTTTTTTTTTTTTTTTTTTTTTTTTTGCTTTTTGGGTCACATTCGGTGTTGCTCAGGGATTACTTCTGGCTCATGCACCCAGGAATTACTCTTGGCGGTGCTCAGGGGACCATATGGGATGCTGGGAATCGAACCTGGGTCGGCCACAGGCATGGCACACGCCCTACCTGCTGTGCTATTGCTCCAGCCCCTCTTATATATTTTAATATGTTTTCTATATATAGTTTATTTTCGCAAAGTTCTGCAAAGTTCTGCATACTTTCTGCAAAGTTTTCAGAACTTTTTGACCTTGGACTCTGGGCTCAACTGGATCCCAGTGCAGAGATCCTCTGCCTGCTACCCCCAGTCTCCAGCGACCCAGGGGTCACACCCATAGGCCATCCCCTGCCAGTGCAATCTCCTCATTGGCCACCCTCCAGAACTCACAGCTGCTTCTCCTGGAAGGGAGCATAAAACGAGGCCCCCATAACCATACCACCAGACTCCGTTCCAGGCTGTTTTCACTCAGGGCAACTCAGAGGGGGGCGGGTGAGAGCCCTCCCCGCCCCAAAGGACCCAGCCCTGGCAGCCAACCTCCACTAGCCAAACCTCCACTAGCCAACTGCCACCACGCTTTAGGCCACTTTCCACACGCTCGGGCCGAGCCTCACATATGAGTGAACATATTCTTGGACATATCATAAGATACTCCCTACTCATTTTCCATAATTACCACACCATATTTGATGGGGTTCAGACAGTAAGGAACAAATCATCACTGTCACTGTCACTGTTCTCCTAAGAGGGGCGGAGGAATTGAACTCGGCCCAAATGTGACTATCCAGTGGCCTCAGATGGATAGTGGCCACTGGGCCGCCAGGGGGAACAGGCCAAGGCATGAAACCTATTCCCACCTGGGTTGGCCCAGCACCAGTAGCCTACTGCAGAGATCAGATGCATTTCTACCTAAAGCCACTGGGTTCTGAGATTCGTTTCTGAGTCTCTGGGATCATGTCCATTAAGCAGTTCAATCAGGAACCAAAGAGGCCTTGCCTCCAATTATATAGCTGAGCCGGAGGTGGTTTGTGGGTGTGTTTCCCACATACCTAACTTTTGGCCGTTTACTTTCTTGGTAAACTTTGCCCCAAGTTTTTGGGGTCTGGCCAAAGGCACAGCAGCAATTTTGGGGTATCTGGAAGTCTGAAGGCGCCATGAGGCTGCTGATGCACTTGCCTCACAGGTACAGATTGACCTGCTGGCGGCACCATACCCCCTAAATACTGATATTTTAAGTAAGCTCTTCATTTGAAAGGGGCCTACTGATATAAAGCTTGCTTCCTCTTAATGATCAGTACACCAACTTTTTTTTTTTATTAGTAAAACACCATGAGGTACAGTTGTAGATTTACAAATTTTTGTGCTTGGGTTTCGATTATACAATGATCAAATACCCATCCCTCCACCAGTGCCCATTTTCCACCACCATGGATCCCACTATCCCTCCCACACCCATCCCCCCCATCCCACCCGGCCTCTGTGGCAGGGCATTCCCTTTTGTTCTCTCTCTCCTTTTGGGTGTTGTGGTCTGCAAAAGAGGCATTGAGTGGCAATCATGTTCAGTCCATAGTCTACTTTCAACATGCATCTGCCCTCCTGGGAGGATCCTCCAAACATCCTTTATTTGGTGCTCTCTTCTCTATCTGAGCTGCCCTTTCCCCTAGAATGGCTGGCTGGCCTCTAAGCTATGGAGTAATCCTCCTGGTACTGATCTCGGCTATCCTTGGGTATTAATCTCCTATTTTGTTACTTTATGTTCCCCAGATGAATGCAATCTTTCTATGTCTATCCCTCTCTTTCTGACTCATTTCGCTTAGCATGATACTTTCCATGTAGTACCACTTGTATGTAAATTTCATGACTTCATCTTTTCTAATAGCTACATAGTACTCCATTGCAGTACACCAACTTTTAAGGATGCTATTCCTCTAGAGGAAAGATTGTCAGAGAGCTATATATAGTCACAAATAAATGGGGATTCATTCTGAGAAGAGCATCATTGGACTCTTTCACCATTGTGCAGTTACCACACAGTGTTACACAAACCTTGATGCTATAGCCTACTTCAAGTTTCTCAACCTTATTCTCACTACCTTGTTTCTGACCCTTTTTGATTTGGTTACCTTTTGTGGGGCACACCCCCCCTCCCCTGCCAACCCTACCAAGTGACTGCCTAGTCTGGGGCTACAGCCCTTCATATGCATGATTCTCCTGTGGACCCTTGAAATACCCAAAGATGGTTTTTCAACTCTTAATTGCTGAATTCAGAGAAAATCTAAAAGTATCTTGAGAGAATGATAGAAGGAGGTGGAGTTGGATGGAATAGTTCGATGCTAGGGAAGCTTAGGGCAGCATTGAACATCTTACTGATGTTCAGTGTTTAAACAACCAGTGCTGTCACTTAATGCCACCAGGTTGAATTCCAGCTGGGGTGCTGTGTACAAAGAGCTTTGTTAGAGAAATGAACCTATAGTCTTGCTCAGGCAAATACTGTGGACAATTCTGAGGAATCTTGAAAGCTCTTGAAAGACTGAACCCACTTTTAGACTGTAAGGTTACTGATACTATAATGTTATTTGTTGCTTGTTTGAAATTCAAGTTTTACTGGGTAGTCTTTAGTTTTTATTAAATGTAATGGTTCAAGTGCACCAAATGTGAAAATTGCACTGGGATATCCATCTTTAATAAACTCTTACCCTGGATTGCCTGCTGAGAGCATAAATACTGCAAAGTTAGCCTTCAAGATCAATTTTTCTTCTGGTGGAGGAATTGGTGCAATGTTCTCCAACTATAAAATAAAGACAACACTATCATAAAATATAATACTTCAAATAAAAAAAATAAAGAGCAGGTCAGAACAATAGCACATCATGTAGGGCACTTACTTTGCATGTAGCCAGCCTAAGCTCAATTCCCAGCACCCCATATGGTCCCCTGAGTCCACTAAGAGTGATCTGTGAAGAGTCAGGAGTTAAGAACTGAGCACTGCTGGATGTGGTCCAAAATAAATGAGTAAATAAAAATCAGTTTCTTATGTTACACCAACCTGGGGGCTCCCACTAACCATGCTCTTTAATTTCCAGTATATTTTGAACCACTTGGGTAGAGGTACCTAAATACAGATAGACAAGGGAGTAAATTGGGCATAATTCCATAAACAAGTGCAGTTTCTTGAAAGATTCCATTTGAGAGGAATGTTCTCCCTGGACAGTAGTTTATAAAAATATCTGTAAATGATGGACATGGATAGAGTTGAAAAGCTGTTAGAAGAAGTATGAATTATGCTGAAAGTAGACTATAGACTGAACATGATTGCCACTCAATGCCTCTTTTGCAAA